TCAAAGATCTGTGCCTTTTGTACACGAACTACATTTTTTCCCACATAGTGTTTCACCCAGGTTACTTCTATTCAAGGACATGAAAAATCCTACTATCAGTTACTATAAAAGGGAGAATTTAAACTGTTCCCTTATAAATGGGATTTTAGCCAGCTTTCTCTTATGCCAGGTAGTATCTCAGTTGCTTTCCCAAAACAGCAGCTAGATGGGCTCCTTAATCTTTTTAAAAATAAATAAATAAATAAATAAAAATAATAAAAGCAAAAATATAGAACAAGAGCCTAACAATAAAGTTTAAATAAAATATGGTCCCCCAAATCTGTTTTCACAAATATATTAAAAGCATGCAACACTGAACCTTTCAAATAGTTTTATACATAAGATTTCTTTGTTTCAGTCCATCTGCTACTGATTAAACATTTTATATATCCATTGTGATTAATTATGCTATTTATATACTCGAAAATGATTTGTTTGGAAAGGTATGGTCTAGTGTAAGTCTTTCATTTCTGAGAATGACAGCCCTTCAAAAAGTAGAACAGCACCATGCACTCAGGAAATCCACCATCTGCTTTCTTATGCTCTTATAACAAATTATAAACCTATAGCCAAATAGAATTGAGAGAAAACAGAGTATAAATAATGCTAATGGCATTCATTTGAGATGTTCAAAAATGTATCAAGTTTTAATTAAGCCAAGCTACTCTCTCAGTCCCCAAAGAAAACTGCCACTACCTTTTTTGCTATCTACATTAGAGGTTAGAGTTAACTTGTCAAATTGCCAGAAATTTTCAGCCAGATTTAGAAGGCATCCTTAAATTATTCTAATCTGGGCTGAATTTTTCAGGTGGGAGAACAGACCAAAATGGCGCATGGGAGATCTCTGCATAGCCTTAATTCCATCAAGAGTACTGGATTAGGGTTATAGTCAACATAATTGAGGAAAAACTGCTCTGGAAAATGCGCAGTAGACCATTTGCCAACATGAGTATTTATTGGTGCCAACAGACAGCAAGGACCTACTGCCAGCAATTTCCCACCATTTGAAACTTAGCTATTGTTTCATTTTTGCATGACCAAACAGGCATCTGAAACCACAGAATAAAACCATTTTTCTTCTGCCTAGCCAAACCGCTTTTAGTGAAATTTTGTAAACCAAAACAAAATTGCTTTCATACTAAAATAAACGTTTGCCAAATATCAGACCATGATTTTTTTTTTTAACAACTATGATTCATACCCAGAGACAAAAACTCTGTAGCAAGTAATCCTCCCAAAGGTAGCTAGGAGCCACACCTCCATTCTCCCTGCTCCCTCTTTCCTAGCAGGCACCCTCTCATTAACACAACCAGGACCAGCTGCTCTGTGCTCTGCACACCATTGGCTTGCTCTATGCATCTCTGATCCTCTTTCCTCTCCTGTTTTCTCCATTCCAACTGAAAGCTATTCTATGACTTCTGGCATCTCTATTAAGTAGTGAGCCACATGGAAATGATTAACTTTTGAACTGCAAAACTGAAAACACTCTTGTGCACACTGTGGAAATGAGACATGTCATGTAGCAAACGGGTTCCCCTGATAGAGTTTGCAGCAAGAAAAATCATTGGCTGAGATTTCAGTTTTGTTGTTGTCATTGTAGATCAAAAGAATGTGATCATCCTTTCTGATAGTTCTCCCCCCCACCCTTGGTAAACAGCCTCTGAGTGAGTTCATTAAATATTTAAACAGCCCTGGTATCTATTAATGTTATCAGACACATGAAATATGTCTGATGGATTTATTCTGCCGTTAAGGAGCCATACCCCAGTGTCCCTCCTGGGACAGTGCTCCAGCTGTTTAAACTATAATTCCATCACTAGGAGAAATGGTGAAAGCACTGACCTCTTTGAAACGGACTCATTGCTACTCAGCCTGTAAATTGCAAATGAAACCTTTCTGTAATAATGTTAAAATATGCATGCATAGGAATTAAAGCACTTGGGGTCACCAACAAAGCCTGGTGCATTTTCTGTAACCTCTAAACAGCTGGTTGAAAGGACCCAATAAATCAATGCCTGAAGAAGATTAGTGATTAGAGGTGTATGAGTCTTTTTGTGTTCAATAGCTCTACCACCAGGTATGGGGGAATCTTAATCAATTCTCTGAAGCTTTTTAAGTTTTTTTTTTTAATTCCATTACTGTTTATTTGATCCTGTTTCTCAAAGGAGATAAATTATGTGGCTATGTGGTCCATTCTTACCCTCCATAAAAATCAATCTGATATGAAATTATGCATGAGGTCCTTTAAACTGAACTAATTTGTTGTCCTGTTTTTACCTACTTCAAGCTTATGGGAAAAATGCCCATGGCAAATAAGATAAATATATCTGGTCAAGTCTTTCAGGTGGGGAAAAGAGGTGATTTAGTTTACTGGTAGGTTATCCATGTTATTGCAAGTATATTTGTTTAAAATCGGTTTAACTTCTATAAAAGCCCTTAAAGGACTTATAAAAATACTGAAAAAGCCATGTGTTGACATCTCCTGGAAATAGAAGTCTTAGGATTGTGAATTCAGAACTTGGACTTACTGTCTGAAGAAACGTGTTCTTTTTGAAGCCATCAAATGGGTGGCTGACCCAAAATCTGGAAATCTAGCCAATTCCTTAGTATTGCTAAATGTTGGCTATGTACAACCTTGGCTACTAATTGATAACAAGCAGACCAAACTGATATTTGAAAAATCTGGGATGTATTGTAAATAAATGACAAAACAAAATAAAAAATCCCCAAAATATGAAAGTACAATAGTGACCTAAATCTAACAAGATGATTTCATGGCAATAACCACACACCCTTGATTTGATGATTCTTTAAGGAAAATGATGTAAAAATATAAAGTTGGGAAAATGCAAATTAGATAAATTACAAAAGAAGAAGTTTCTCGATGAAGATTTGGGATCAGTAAATTCACCCAGCCGTTGTATACTGTGTATGTGAGGAAGGTCAGTGCTAAAATATATGTGTGCGATGGAAATTGGTGGTATCAGGTGTGTTCTCTGCTTTGTGATGGAGAGAGTTCAAGCTTATTATGAGTCAACTTTATAAAGACTGACCCATAAAGATTAATGTTAACTTATCCCTTACTGTCTCATATTGAAACTAACTCAAAATTGATAATCATCAGGCTCATATAATGCATCAGTCACATTACTTATGGAATATCATTAGAGCACTACCTTTAGATATGATAGGCATATCTGTTTCTCGTGCATCCTAAGAGTGAACGAGATGGTAAAGAAACTGAAATGACCTCAAATGAGCAATGACTGCCCATTATAGTAAGTTCTCAGTATGTGAATTAGAAGAAGGTGAGACAGGTATGGAGATGTGGCATAGGAATTAGATCTGAACTATATGATACCAATTATATTGCCTAACTGAGTCTAGTTGGTGAGTGTTATAAAGGAATAAATTTCACCTGAACAACTAAAGAGCTTTCTAAGAAGTTTAACTATGTGAAGATTATATAGATTGCCTTGAGACATAATGTATTCCCTAATATTGGAAGTGCAAGTTATAAAATGATTTGATTTGTTGAAAGATTCATGCATGGAAAGAGATGTTGGACAAGATAATCTGCAAACCCTCAGATTCAGTAAATCTTTTAGATCCCCAAAGAAGGATTAAGAAAGAAAATATTCCAGAACATGTAAATGGCAAGTCTATATGAGAAATTTTTATGAAGAGACTTCCAAAACAACATTTTGAAAGTAGTAATGCCCTCTTCTTCCATTGTTAAAAAAAATTTATATGGCAAAGGAAAATTCAGTGAACCCAAATTAATGTCCCCATTAGAAGAACACCACTTTAAGCAACTAAAATGCTCTTTGAATTTCACTGGAGCTTTGGAAAAAGATATATTTAGTGGTTATTAACCCAGTACTTATCTTTCTACTGCACAAAATGTCTCTTTTCCTGAAGAATCCCCTGCAGAGAATTCCCAGACTGGGACAGGGCAGTAGCCTTGCAATTGGCATCCAAACCACAGGGCATAGCCAATAATGATTTGCAGTTAAAGTAGCTGCAAGAGAAAGATGGTAGTCATTTAAAATAATTTCTGCTGCTGGAATTTTGTCCTTTTCACTTTTAATCACTTAAGGGTCAATTCACCTAGAATTCTGGGTTTAACCCCTTTAAATAATTTTTTTTTCCAAAAGGATCAAGGGTATAGAATGTGTAGGCACAAAGCAATATGAGTGCTCCTTCATGGGACATAAGCTTTAGGGAACTAAAGATAGGTTAATTCCATGCTTGATTCATTCCATGGACCATTTAACGAGAGCCTCTGGAATTGTTCAGCCAATAATGAACTCACAGGATCTAAAGGTAATCACTGCTGCAATTATTAAAATTTACACCAGAATTCTATTACCCTTTCTACAGATAAGTGTCTTGTATTAAGTGGTCTAGAAGGGATGCGTGAACTGGTTCAATAACACCAGAAATCTCTCTTATTTGTTCTTTTTTATTTTCAGTCTTTGCCTGTAAGCATGAAACCATGCTTCTGGTTAATTCTAAGGAAATATGTAATATTATTTTTTATAAAGAATTTAGAACTTAAATCACTTTTCTCATGTATATTAGCTCATCTAATTCCTGCAATCTGGCATTTTATTGTTATTAATAATTTTAAAAGCTAAACTATTGATCTCATACCTACTAAGCACTATTCTAAGCACTTTTCATGCATTCTCTCATTTGATACTCAGAACAATTCCCATGAGATCAATATTATTATTACCCCCATTTTACAAATGAAAAACAAAGCTTGGGGAAAAGTTAGGATCTCTCTCAAGACCACATAGCTAGAAGTGAACCAGCATTTGAAGACTGGAGGGGGCCCCAGAAGCACATGCTCTTAACCACTGCCTGACATGCCCCTCACTGTACTTTCCAGTGCATGCTAGTGCCTAGGTTGATACAAGTGAAGGGAAGGTTTTGAAAAGTATGGCCACATTTGTCTTTGTTTTGGGTAAAGACAATTCCTTTTTTTTATTTTTTAAGAAGACACATAATCTGAATACAAAATTTCCCTTGGGCTATCACAAAGCCTTCAATAGCATTTATGATTATTATAAAGGCAAACAGTGTGAAGCATTCAGTGGGTCAATGACTTTGGTAGTGTTGCTGTAAGAAGACAAAAAGAAAATCAATCTCTGTCTTAGTTCAATACAGACAAGAATTCAGATAACAACTGTGAGCAAACACCAAATACAATTTCGATAATCTTATGCAGTTATCTTAATAACAGTTCAGAAGACAAAGAATTCTCAAACTAACATCAACAATATGATTATAATTCCAAAACTTCATGTTTAATGTGAAATACAGCCTTTCTAGCATATATGTGTGCTTATATATTTGTGCATATAGATACATACATAGATTACACACATACACACACACACACACACATGCACACACACACACACACTCTCACACACACACACCACCTTGAGCATTTATGTGAACACTCTAAGCACAGGATCCTCTAAAATGTTGCTTATCTGTCCCCAGAACAGTAAGCTGCGTATAAGCCATTGGCAAAACTTAATTCTTCCTTTTTTGCTAATTGCAGACTGAAAGTAAAGTGTGTTCAAAAGAGAAAATATGAGTTATATTCTAGAAACATTTCAAAATAATTCCTAGTAAATTATAAAAGAGAACTTGCTGGACAGTTGCCAACCTCATTGTTCATATGTTGTGGGAAAATCCCAGAGGAACTAAATTCCCTTAGTATTTGTTATTCATTTAAAAAATGACATGTAAAAAAAATAAAAATAAAAAATGACACTTTATCACTGTAAACTCCGTAAGTGGGTGTACTCAAGATTGGGAGAAGTCGAGCACATTTGATTCCACCGATTGCTTCAAATTATTTTTCAAACATTTTGGGTTTTAGGAAACTCAAAACACATTTTCCAAGTTCTCTTTTCCTTTCAAACCCATGTGTTTAGTAAGAGAAATTTAATCCATATGTTTTTGATTCATTTTGAGTTAACTCATCAAATTGTTGATTTTTAAGATCTATTTGATGTCTAAAAGCTTTTTGATGGTTGTAATTTTTCCCTCTGAAATAGTATTTTGTTTTTTTCATGTGTAAACACACACGTGGGTCTCAGAGATTCATGCTCCATGTACCAAGGATTTGAGTGGGTGCTAACTCATTCAAACCCATTTCAGTCATCCAAGGGGGAATTATGACATGGATAATAGCTCAGAATGCTCAGAGCCATTTTTATTTATGTGACTTTCTTTTTAAATCCAGACTTAGTCATGCTATGGATACATTTTATAAAATCTAAAAATATCTTAAATTATATCTAGCTTCATTGAAGCAGGAGTTAAGAAAATCAACATAACCTTTGTTGAAAAAATCATCAGTGGAGGGCATGCCATCTTAAAGGTGAAAGGTCATTGTCACTATACTTTATAGTGACAGATACAAAGGATAAAAATTCTATTGCTCATCAAAGGTGCCCACAAATGAGATGGAGCTATAACTTGTTTGGAGGAAGTTTGACTTTGTCTTTTTTTTTTTTTTTTTTTGGTTATACAAATTAAAACAAAGGAAGTCAGCAGTTCTAGAGTTTGGAATAAATGTAGGGGACATTCCCTGCCTTACTTTGCCTCTTTTTTTCCTGAAATTGAAATAGAAGGAAGTGAATGATAAATATTGGTCTGTCCACAAGATTAAAATATCCTGCCCAAGGCAATATGTACCATCATCAAATACCATTGGTTTTAACATCCTCACTGAAAGAAAGGCTATCAGATCAGGCCTCTATGAGTTACTTCTCATGACTAGAGTGTGTGGAGGGGAAAAGAATTTCACAGATCTTGTGAAATTCGAGACTTCCCTGAAGCCTAAAGCTTTTACACATAAAAGCTAGCATCCATCTTCTCATGGTCGGGGAAAGTATGTTCTTTTTTTGCCATGAAACATCACAGAGAACTAATTTTCATGCACAAATGTCTGTCTCATGTACAAATCTGCAAAGCAAACATCTACAACTAGTCCAACAAATTGCTCTTAGTTTAATTGGTGGACTTTTGCTTTTACTGTGAATGATATGTCCTCTCACTGGCACTCCTAAAAGTTCCTCAAACATGTGGAACTTAGCCTCAAATGTGAGAGGTAGGGACACGTTGACACTTTCCTCCCACTGCTTCCCAAGGAATCACTGGCTGATATGCCTGAAGAAGCCATCTGTCCCAGCTCAGAAGTAGAGGAGGCCCATTCCTCTGTGTGAGAAAACTCTGGAAAAAAAGAATCATGACCAAATCTCTTCCTACTTAGGTGAGAAAGATAACAACAAGAAACAATAGTGGTTTCCCAACCTTTTTTTCAAACAGGAACGACAATCTCCAATGGACATTCATTCTTTCTCATTCTGCCCTTTGTCATCGTACTATCTGTTAAAAAAAAAAAACAGAATTTTCCTTCTAAGAAAAAATAGCTTAACGCAGACCTATTGGTATTAAATTCACTTACCAAAATAATCTTGCACAAACAATGCAAAGAAAATGTATACCATAATAATCTCTATGAATATAACACATACACACATGTGCGGGCACACACACACACGTTAATATTGAATGAAAACAGGTGAAGATCTTTGACAAGTTGGCATTGATAATTTTTCAAGTTTGAGCAAATTTCATCTAGGTAGTCTACCTTTCACTACTATGTATCTTGGAGTTGAGAGAATTTTTAAAACCACAAATGAAAAGGAATTACACAATTCTGAATTCTGAAGTAACTATGTTGCTGCATTTATAAAAAACTAAAATTTTCACAGTAACCCTCCTTCTATTTTTATCTGTCACTTTGGAATAATGTTTCCTCTAAGGAATAGTTGCAAGACACCTCTAGCTCCAAGGTTCACAACCCCATCACATATTAGGATCATCTAAAGAACTTTTTTTTAAAGAACTTTTTTTTTTAAGATTTATTTATATATTTATACAAGCACTGGGTACAGTCAGAAGCGCGGGAGGGTGAGAGAATTCACCAGAGCCAGAGCGGGGAGCAGAGCAGGCAGAAGGACCGAAGAACACTGTTGAGGGGAGCAGTGGGAGGTAGGAGAGGTCTGCGTGCCATGTGGGACCCTCTCCTGGAGGCCAGGGATCGAACCGGCGCTGCAGAGGCTGCGGGCAGCTTCGCAACCCAGCGCTCAACCGCTGCGCCACCGGGGAGGCCTTAAAGAACTTTTTAAAAATTCCAATGCGCTAGCCCTACTCTAAATAAAATATGTCAGAATTTCTAGGGTGGGGATCATTATTTTTTCAAAACTTCACAATTATTTGTAATGTCACAGCCAGACTTAAGAATTTTCTCTCTGACAACTTCCAGTCACCTTGATCTAAAGAGTGAGAAGTCGAATACTAGTGATGAGAAACAAAAGAAGGTAACCACTAAACCAAACCAATAACAAAACCTAGAAATCTGCCTATAGAATTAAGATTCAGAGGGGGAGGGAAAACACGGAAAGCAAAATGGGGAAGGTCCCAACAGGTTATCATGAAGGACTCTGGGTACCTTGGCGGTGGTGCTGTGGTGACATCTGAAGAGGTGTGATACTACCTGTAAATCACATACAGTACCATAAACCAACGTTACCTCAATAAAATTTTTTAAAAGGAGGCTTACCAGAATAGCTAGAGCTGGTTATTTGTGAGCAATGATGCCTGTACACACACACACACACACACATACACATTATAATAAAGCTGTAAAACCCAATAAATACAAATTTAAAATTGAGTTTCCTATTTGCAATTTTTGAAGCACACTTCAGGGGGAAAATTAATGACCTGTCAAGACCTTTTCATTAATAGTGAGTGATACTATGAGACAAAATAATATTTATAGTTCTCTTTAATCACAAATCTTGTATTTACCACCTTTCTATAACTTGTTATTTTGGGTCTTTTGTTATATCTGAAATAATGGTTCATTTATGTCTTAGTGCCATGGTTAAAATTTTTTCATTTTGAAAGGAAATCCATAAGCTTTAATATTATTCTCTCTGTAAGTTTGAAGCTAGAAAGAAGCACCAATAACTGGCATTCAAAACATAAAATTCATGAAGAGAAAGCTGTTATCCTTTATTTGATTTCCATGAAGTCATCTTAAATGCTGATTGTTCAAAGAGTAACTGAAAATGACTGTCAGTGACATCAGCAGTCGCTGACCACATAGTTTAGATTCCTGTACTTCCCAATTAAAAATTCTGGTTACACAATTTTGCAAAAACATTTCTATAACAATTTAATAAAATCACACAAGAAAACTTAAAAAAAAATCACCTTCCCTGTCAGTAAAGGTGATGTGTGTTAAAAAAAAATACATGATCTTGGGCTTCCCTGGTGGCACAGTGGATGAGCGTTGGGTTGCGAAGCTGCCCGCGGCCTCTGCAGCGCTGGTTTGATCCCCAGCTGCTCCCCGGCCACCAGAGGAGGGTCCCACATGGCGCACAGACCTCTCCTGCCGCCTGCTGCTCCCCTCAGCAGTATACTTTGGTCCTTCTGCCTGCTCTGCTCCCCGCTCTGGCTCTGGTGAATTCTCTCACCCTCCCGCGCTTCTGACTGTACCCAGTGCTTGTATAAATAAATAAAATAAATCTTAAAAAAAAAAAAACATGATCTTTTTTCCAAAGACTAGGGTCTAAAATATCCGGTTATTAAAATCATATTGATATGATAATTACTGAAATAAAATGGCTCTCCAAGTATAATAATTAAAGTAAATTGCTTCAAAAAAATTTCAAAGATCTACAATGTCTAAGAGAAATATGCCTGTGTAGGGCACTTATAACATGTCACATGACATGTCATGTATCAGGCACCTGGCATTGATTCTCAGTGCCGTGAAGGCTGTCAATAGTGTCCTCCTCAGTTAAGATTACCAATGACCTCTCTTTTAAAAAAAAAAAAATATATAGGTGGACTCCTGTTAGTCAACATCTTATGTTATATGTTCAAAGCATTTTTTTTGAAGATTTATTTATTTATGCATACAACAACTGGGGTATAGGCCCTTGCGTCACCAGAGAGGCCCCTGTTGAAAGCATTTGTAATGAGAGACCACATTCTCATTTTTGAAAGTTCTTGTTTACCATGAAATTTGTTGGTCTTTTTATATCTCTAACATTAGCTTCTTTGTATTTCCTTCTCCACCCATCTGATAAACGAAGTTAATTCTCAAGCTTCTGTCTTTGATCCTCTTCTCTTTGCATAGCTCTTAATTTACATGTTACTTAGTCTCTTGTTGCTTCCATTTTCACCCATTTGCTAGTGTCCCCTACCTTGCTAATTTTAACCTGCATTTTGTTCTGAAACCTCCAGATATCAAAATGCACATCTCTACATGGTGATTTCAAGGGCACCTTAAATTGTTATCTTCCCTGCCCCACCACATTCCCAGTGTGCTGTTCTTTTTCTGTTTTCCAGTGAATGGTGTCAACCTATTCACCAAGTTACTCCCAAACCAAGCCTTAAATTTGAGTCCTTTTAAAATTTTATGATACTGTAAGTTCACATCCAATAACTGATCTGGATTGGTGGATTTTACTTGTAAACCAATCTAGAATCCATGCCCATCTCTTCAACTTCACACATACAGTCTTAGTTCCAATCTTCATCATCTTTTTTTTGGCTATCTCTCAATATTCTTCTAACTGCTTTAAAAACCACAATGAGATACCATCTCATACCTGTGAAGATGGCTGACATTGAAAAAATCAGGAACAAGTGCTGGCAAAGATGTGGTGGAATGAAATCTGCTCCTGGTGGGAAGAGAATCTGGTCCAGATCTTATGGAAAGCAATATGGAGGCATCTCAAAATATTAAAAATTGACCTGCCATTCAACCCAGTAATTCCACTCCTAGGCATCTACCAAAAACATTCACAAACACTAATTCAAAAACAAACCTGCACTCCTGTATTTATTGCAGTACTATTTACTGTAGCCCAATTATGGAAACAAACTACATGCCCAACAACAGATGAGTGGATCAAGAAACTGTGGTGTATATATACACAATGGAATAGTACTCAGTGGTTAGAAAAAATAAACTCGTGCTATTTGCAGTGAGATGGATGGTGCTGGAAGGGATAATGCTAAGTGAAATAAGTCAGAAGGAGAAAGAGCAATACTGTATGTGTCACTAACATGTGAATATAAAGTTACTAAAAAATGGCCAGAAAAAGATAGCTTAAAAAATAATTCTTAAAAACTGCTGTAGAACTGAAATATCCTGAGTGGGAAGTAGAGGGGGAGCAGTAAGAACAAAGAGAGAAGGAAGCACCATAATCTATAATGTTGGACTATGTGTGTGATTTGTCGGTGGGTACACTAAGTGGCAATATGTGATGGGGGTATTCAAATACTTGTGCAATTGGGCCTCCCTGGTGGCACAAGGGGTTAAGACACAACTTATGAAGTTATCGGCAGCCACTGCAGTACAAGTTCGATCCCCGGCCAGGGAGCTATACACATGGCACAGAAGACCTCTCCTGACTCGCACACTGCTACCTTCAGCAGTGTTTTTCAGTCGATCTGCCTTTTCTGGTCCCTGCTCTGTTTCTGGTGAATCCTCTCACCTACACACCTCTGGCCTGTACCCCAGTTCTTGTATGCATAAATAAATAAATAAATCTTTTTAAAAAACCCCAAATATTAGTGCAATTAAAAATTAATTAAATAAATAACAAAGACTCAGGCATAGGGCTGGAAGGATGATTTGACCAAGAATATAGTTTGTGGGAAAACATCCCCATTCACATAGTTCTTCACCAAGTTAAAAAATAGATGAAGCAATGAAATACAGAGTTTCTAACTCAGATGTGGAGGAATCACAGATGAAACACTCGATTTCAATTTTACCGATAATGGCTGAGGATCATTGCATCGGGGGGCCAGTATCAGTCAGTATCTGATATAGTGTGTCAAGTAGCAAAAAACCAGTAACTGTTTCTGAGCAGCTTAATGATTATTTTAGATCTTTTTATTCTTATTTTTTGTAAGTGGTTTTGGGTCCCCAAGAGTATTGAACAGAAGGTACAGAGAGTTCTAGGATATCCCTGCCCCCACTTGCATAGCCTCCCCCATTGTCGGCATCCCCTAGCATGGTGGTACATTTGCTACAATTGATGAACCCATCATCATCACCTATAATTCATCATTTACTTTAGAGTTCACTCTTGGTGTTGTACAGTCTATGGGTTTGGACAGATATATGGTGACGTATATCCATCATACAAAATATTTTTACTAGCCCTAAAGATACTCTGTGCTCTGCCTATTCATCCCTCCTACACCAACCACCTGGAAACCACTGATTTTTTTTTTTTACTAAATCCAAAGTTTTGCCTTTTCCAGAATGTCATACAATAGGTAGAATTTCAAATTAGTTTCTTTCATGTAGTAATATGTATTTAAAGTTTCTCTACGTCTTTTATGGTTTCAGAACTCATTTTGTTTTAGGATTGAATGATATTCCATTTTTGGGATGTGTCACAGTTTATTTGTCCATTCACCTACTAAATCACAAAAGGACATCACAATTGCTTACAAGTTTTCATAGTTAGGAACAAAGCTCCTCACGTAGGCTCCTGCGGTCATAGCAGCAGCATTGTCCACAAGAGCCAAATCATTGAACCAGCCTCAGTATGCAATGACAGACAACTGTATAAAGAAATTGTGGAATATATCATTGGAATGATACCTAACTTTAAAAAAAAAGTTGCCTTTGGGGACAAATTGCTGGAATCGTGAGGTGATTTTGCTAAGTGAAGTAAGTCAAAAAGTGAAAAACAGACACAGGATGTTTTAGTTATTTGTGGAATATAAATAATCAAAAAGAACAAACTGAAGCACAAAAATAATTCTTAGACTCTGTGAAAGACTATACTGTTTGCCAAAGGGAAGGGGGTGTGGGGAGGAGGCTAAAGGGGAGGAAGGGATGGAGCATCAGCTCTGGTGTTCTGGTGACTGGTGACGGGTGAGTGAAGCAAATGGACATGTGGACATGTGAAAATGTCCCCCCAAAGTTACATATATGTGTATATGACTGAAAATAATTTTTTAATAATTAAAAAAAATCTGGCCTCTACTGGTGGCGCAGGCAGTTGAGTGCAAGCACTGTGAAGCTGTCCACAGTCTCTGCAGCACAGGTTCAATTTCCAGCAGGCCAAGGAGAAACCCACATGGTGCGGCAGACCTCTCCTGTCTCTCCTGCTGCTCCCCTCATTAGTGCATTTCAGTCAGTCTGCCTGTTCTGTCTCTGGTGAATCCTCTCACCCTCCCACACATCTGTCCTGTATCCCGGTTATTGTATGCATGAATAAATAAATCTTAAATAATAATAATAATAATAATTTTTAAAAATCCATGTACAGCTTTTGTGTAGATATAAGTTATGAAAACCTTTGGTCAGGGCCTCTCCGGTGGCACAGCGGGTTGAGCGCAGCGCTGTGAGGCTGTCCACAGCCTCTGCAGCACAGGTTCGATTCCCGGCCGGCAAGGGAGATACTCACATGGCATGGCAGACCTCTCCTGTCTAGCCCGCTGTTCCCCTCAGCAGTGTATTTTGGTCGTCTGCCTGTTCTGCTCCCTGCTCTGTCTCTGGTAAGTCCTCTCACCCTCCTGCGCCTCTGGCCTGTACCCCAGCTCTTGTATAAAAATAAATAAATCTTTTAAAAAAATCCTTTGGGCAAATGCCAAGGACTGTGACAGCTGGATGATCTGGAAAGAGTTCAGTTTTGGAAGAAACAAACTGTCTTCCAAAGGGTCAGAATCATTTTGCATTTCTATCATCAATGACTGAGTTCCTGTTGCTCCATATCCACACCAGCATTTGGTGTCAGTGTTCTAGATGACTTTTATCCAAAACAGTGGTTTCTATGTGATTACAATAAGACTCACAAGGTGAGTTTAAGTGAGTGTAAATTTTGAAATTGAAAAATTACATACTGAAATATTTCCTTAAAATGAAAATGCAAACTTTCTGTAACATACCAAGTAGCGCTTGAATTTGATTCTCCTTCATTTTTCTGGAATGAGCCATATGAGTCCAATCTTCTTCACCTTAAGTCAGAATCTTCAAATTATTGTGAGATCACTGAGAATTCCACAGCCACCCTTCTCCCCCACTCCCTCTGGTTATGGTTAGGTAGTGAGTGGTGGGTCTATAAATCTGTATTTTTTAAAAGATTTATTTACCCATGCATACATGAACTGGGGTACAGGCCAGAGGTGAGAGGATTCACCAGAGACAGAGTGGGGAACAGAACAGGCAGACTGAAATACACTGCTGAGGGGAGCAGTGGGCAAGTCAGGAGAGGTCTGCTGCGCCATGTGGGTAGCTCCCTGGCCGGCCAGGGGATCGAACTAGTGCTACAGTGGCTGCGGACAGCTTCACAGTGCTGTGCTTATCCCTTGAGGCACTAGGGAGGCCCTAAATCTGTATTTTTAACTATGTGCATTTCAAATGGTTCTAATGCAAGTACAGGAAACACACTTTAATAATTATCCATGGAAACGCAGATCCTCGCCATTAATTCCAGATACAACAACCTGCCATAACAACCATTCAGTGGCTTAGCTTATCCTCTGTGAACATAAATCCCAGGATCCAATCATACCCTTGGTCATCATTCACTCTCATTCATGCCCAGCCCTCTTGGTAAAGCCAGATAGCGAAGAAACTGGGGTCTTAGAGTATCTCCAACAGAGAAGGACTCAGGTTAATTTCTCTGATCTACCACTATTTAGAGAAAAGTAAATTCTGTTTTAAAGAGATGATCTTGGCTTATGACCAAATATGAACTGATGATTTTGGAAAGTTTCTATACTTCATAATGTTACATAATACTGCCTATAGACTTAATGCAAAATTAATTACCTTGGGTGAATGGTTTCAATCAGTTTCAAAATACAATCTATTCTGTTCACAGGGCCATAGGAAACACCCAAACCACTGAGACCAGAGGGGGATGCATTAAGTAGTGACAGTGCCATAATCTCTCCCTTGCAGAGAAATTATGCAACAGCGTTTGTTAACCCCTGACTGTTTCCAAAGTGAATTATTAGAAGCCAGCGCTCCTTCATTTCTTGCCCTTCCATGAGAAATATGAAATTCTTTTTCCTTCACTAAGATATGTGAAGTTAATCCTTCTATGTGAATTTGAGCCTACTATGCCTAGCTTGCTCTACAGATTCAGGCTCAAATACAAATGCTAGCCTGTGAATTGAGTGGGGATGTCCTAAGTTCACTAGAGTGGGGATGTCACTAAGTTCACCCCAAAGTTCACTAGATCTGATTTGCAAGATCCCTTTAGGTTCTGATAGCATTTTTAATTCTTAACTTCCATAGGTTCACCACACAAGCTTTCTTTTCATGCAGACACCATTAATAAAAAAGGATTTGATAGAAAAGAAAAAAATAACTTGATAACCTGCTTCATTACATCACATCTAATTTTCTTTTTTCATGTGTCTTTTTTTTTCTTACATCATTTTCATTTTTGTACAGTAATTGGTTTCTATAACATTTGATTTCTCCCCTCAGGTCTAGTCCCCACAGTTCTCCAGCCACCATAGCACCCATGAACCATCACCATAGTCCCTTGTGCTGTGCCCTCCTTTGTTTTGATCTCCCTCCCTCCCTCTCTCATTGTATGCCTCAGATCTCTGGTCAGCTTTTTAGTTTTGTCTTTTTCTTCACTTTTGTTCAGTTTCTCTATATTCCGCATGTAAGTGAAACCATCCGATATTTATCGTTTTCCTTCTTAATTATTTGGGTTGGTGTAATCCCTTCCAGCTCCGCATGTTGCTGCAAATGGTAAGAGATCACATCTAACTTTCTCAGGGTGTCATTTTAGAGGATTCTGTTGTCTCTCTTCTTCAGATTGTAGATTCTAATAGAATTTATAATAATCATAGAACTGTGTCATTAATTTATCAAAAGGATATTCAAAAGTACTCCTCATGCTTCCCTTTTGGAACATTTCATCTTTTAACTCTTCTGACCTCCCTATCAAGGTTCCTTTGCCATACTTAAGCATGACTGACCTCAGGGCCTTTGCATAAGTGACTTCAACGCCTATGAAAAGTGTGTAACTCTCTTCACAGTCAGTCACCCCACAATCTTCAAGCTTCTGCTTAACGTTTGCTCCAACAAAAGAGCTTCTCTTCCTATCCAGTTTAAAGCAACTCCCCCTATTGTTGACTATAGATGATTTTGTTCCTTCATGATTATAATAGTAGCTAACATGTATTCTTTCTATATTCCAGACCATGTCCTAAGTTTTTTGCAAGCAACAGTATATTTAATTTTTACTTTAACCATATGAGTATACATATTTTTATTATTCCTATAATAAAAATGAAAACATTGAGGCATGGAATGATTTAATAACTTATCCAGAGTGAAACATCAAGCATTTTCAGAGCCAGGATTTAAACTCAGGAAGTTCAAAGTCTGATTCCAGAGATCATGCTCTTCAAATAACACTGTAACTGGTAATTATCTATCTATGTATGTATTTATTCACTTATTTATTGTCTGTCTCTCCATCCTATGTATAAGCACCATGAGGTGAGGGACCGTATTGACTTTGTTCCATTAATGTATAGATGGTACTTACCACAGTGTTTAGCAAATAATAGGCACTTAAGGAAGAAGAAAAGACAGAGGGAGGGAAAAAAGGAAGGGATAGAAGAAGGAGAGAAAGGAAGTGAAAAACAAATCAAGATTTAATGACCTGATACATGACTAAAGAGAGGATATCATTTCAGTGATGCTCACACTAGCTGAAATGTATCTTGGCTGTGGGCACACCCCATTGTAACAACAACCACAACTTCAGTGCCCAATACTGTGGACTAACAGCCAGCAATACATAAAGGCAGAAAGGAGACTTTGATCAAAGTTTCTTCCACAAAAAAAACATAGTGAGCTAACTGAGCAAACGGTACTAGGCATGCCATAAATTGCTGCAATGTGGGTGGGCAAATTTAAGAGGGGGACCCTTAACCACACCCTTGTCAGGCAAATCAATGTCTAATCCATTGGTTTGACTTCAGAGTGACAGAATGACAAATAGAAACCTGACTCCCCTGAGGCTGGGCTTTACCGTGCCATGAACAACCTCTTCTCTTCTAATTGAATAGAGTTTCAGGGAGTGGGATGAGGGACCAGAGGAGGAACGGCAGATGAGTGAAAGGGGCCCACGGGTAGAAGAGAAGCAGGGCTGTGCACGATTAGCAGCCCGCAGTGTGCTATGCCGTCTGGGAAATGATGCTTTCAGGGAGTACAGCTCTGGTTCCTGCTTCCTGGGCAGACATTTGAGGTACTTGCGTGCAGAACGGGAATTACACTTCTGTGCCTCTGATTTGTAACTACACCTGTACACTCTTAGAAATGCTAATAGACAAATATAAATTTAGGTACAAAGGAAAATCTAATAAGAAGAGCATGTGAATGAGGAAGAAATGTCTAATTTTTTGCAGTCATTAGGACTAGGGGAACATGCTTATAGTAATTAGGTAAGATTGATTTCGAGGCCGAACACCACCCACAATTTGTGTAGTCTGGGGGTCAGGCGGGCAGCTGCAGAAACCGCTCGGCTAATTATGAGAATTCACTGTTCGTTAATAGAATCTCTCTCCACAAACAGCAGCTGTGTGTTTGCTCACGCAAATTATTAATTCTGGCCTCGCCTCAGCTGCAAGTTTCTGCTGTGCAGAAAGGAATCCTCGGATAGAAGTGTTAGATATCACCCAAGCGATACCAAGAAAGGAAGGAAAATATGAAATGAAAGAAAATATCTTCTAATCACAGGTGTATAAAGATTTTGCATCTACCTCCCTTTTCTGCCTTTCACTCCCAAACAATTGAATGCCAATTTTGGAACTCATTAATCTGTAGGCAACCTAGCGAGATCTAATTTATACCTGTCAGGAGCAATGGGCAGCAGCTAATAGGAAAGTAATTGCAATATAAGTCTGCTTCCCCACTTGATAGTATGCAAGATTTTAATGACAGCCCTTCTCCATTGGAATACCAGGCTGGCCAACAGATACATTCTCTCTTTTGCAGTCACACTGTGAACAAAAGAGATGTCTTCTTGGGTTTTATTATATACTGCAAATAAAGTGATAACGGCAGAGTAGATGGAACACAGATGCACACCTATTTATTCTCTGGAAGAAGTGAAAGCAATATTCCTGCAATACAAACTGTGATCTAGTACTGAACATTTTTATTTTGTTTTTTAAAAAAGTATCTGGCTGGCATCTAATACCTACATAAAATAGTATCTCCTGTTTCAAACGGAATTGAATATCTGTATTCAATAATAAGATAGTTTGAAATGTCAGGACACTTAAGCGGGCTTAAGATTTCCCATATTCCATTGGAGTGCTTAGAAAGAAACTGTGGTGTTTACTACATAAAAAGGGGGGAAGTATCTATTTATTTCAAATCTTTTTTTCTTCCTTCTGGGATCGTTTTTAGTGGGATTTTTCCATGAACAAATTAGGAACATCAAAGGTTGCCTAAGGTTACAGAATGTTTTGCAAAACTCTTTTTCGAGCATGACCTCTTGTTTCTTCAACTGATGTCCTAACTGGATGATTTCTAGGTGGTCCCTACATACAAGACGAGACCTGAAAAAAAGCATGATTTCTGAAACATGAAGCCTCGTTTCAAATTCCCTGCCTTATAGGTATTCCTGTGTAAGTTACAGCAAATTCAGTAACCTCTCTAAAACGTGCTTGCTTCACATACAAACCTTCACGTGTTTGGGATAGAATCAAATAAAAAGACATGTGGGAAAGCACTTTAAAAGAAGACATGCAAACACTAGTTGTTACTTATTTTGTGACAACCGAAAGTGCTTGTGGAGAAAGCGTACATTAAAATGCAAATTTCTGGAGGGAAGGAAGAGAGAAAATGACTTACTATTGTACACCACACATCTGATGCTGTCATCCTTGTTTCCAAACCACATTCAACCAGTCTTTGGGGGTGTTTGATTTGAGCTTAAAATCCATCCAAGACATTGTAGGAAAGGCAGAGTAAATAAAG